GTGACTGCACCTCTTCCTTTTACACCCATGTAGGCTTAACCAGCTCGAGACCTAAATCAAGAAACATTAATACCTAGCTGTTGTGTGCACAGAAGAAAAACATGCTCTCAACGTGTTTCACAAAACGTCTACCTTGTTTACTCATGTTTTCAGTGAAACTCAGAACTAGTAAAAAAAAAAAAAAAAAAAAAGCCAATATTACACTATTCAGATAACTCTAAATACAGGCACTGCAGCATTGACCAGAACTTCTTCCTTATTCCTATCTGTCTTGTCTCCCCGCTTTATCTCTTTTACCAGCTGCTCTGCGCAGAAGCCCCATTACCTTCAGTGGCATTCAGATACAAACAACAAGTTGAAACACAGAAGCTAGAAAGTATCAGCTCTGAAACAAAGACAATTTATCTTTGGCACACGCTTACAATGAGCTTCGCATATTTTAGATGCTGGAAAGACTAAATATTTTAACAATTATAGATTAGTGTATATGAAGTTTAATGAACAGTCAAGAATTTAAATACAAGATAAGATTTAGACACATAAACCGATCCCACTAACTTTAGCAGAGCTACTTGCTTACTTGAACGTTAGACATATTCCCCAATACCATACTGAATTCTGGTCCCAAAGTTAATTTTTGGAGGAAAGCTGTCACATACGTTGCATTCTCAGAGGCTTTGAACAGTGCAATCATTTGTGTATCACTATGATACCATCTCACCAGCTGAAGCACATTAATGCCTGAAGGCTCCACTCAAGGTCTCGAAGTACTCTGCTATTAATATAGAATGACACTGCATCTGTCCCAACAAACAACCTAGTTAGACAGTATGAAGGTTAAGAAATGAAACAGAAGGAGAGAGCAAGCACAAAGGGATTTGCTCAAGGCCAAAAACGAGGTCAATGACAGGATCTGAAGAAAACAGGCATCTGTCGCATTGAACTGGCTTCGCTCAACCTGAGTTCCCAAACTTCCATTTGCTCTCCAGAAGGGGTTTTGTCTCTTGCAAAAGCAGCATTTTCCTGTACCAGACACCAGCGTTAGTGGATACTAGCTGTTCCAAGAGAATTTCTGTAATACATAGCCTGTAAAATTGGTTGGTGAAAATGCTCAAGTCTCTCACATAAAACTTTTGTTCTCTCCACCTTTTAAGCTCTTTCTTATTTTTCCTTTATTTTCAGAGGGACATCGGTTTAAGAGGGACTATTTCAATCAATATGTCAAATTATAAAGAATAATACATTGTAGCCCCCGTGATCCTTATTGTTTTACAGCAAAAGGCAAAACTATGAGGAAAACAAACAATTGCACAGGAGAAGAAAAATACTGTTATACAACTTCACTATGTAAAAAGTGAAAGGTTTGCACTCTGATTATTTTGTGTGTGGTAACAGGACTACTGTATTTAAACACATTAAAATCAAATACCATGTGTAAATGTTCTCAATAAAAGTATAACCCACAAAGCCTTCTCACCCATCAAAATCCACAATCTGTAACTCAAACATCTCTCGAACTGCACATACTAAAAAACAAACCTTTTTATGCTACAAAAATAACACTTGAGAGCAATTAATAAAAAAAAATTAGAATACTTAATCTGTTTTTTCCTTTCTTGATACTTTATGATGCATACCAAGAGGAAGCACCTGGTAGAAACCACAAAGATGGTTTAAGCAGCCCCAGCACTGAGAAGTAGGACATCAGAGGAGATCAGCATGAAAACTCTTTTAATTGCAGATTGTTCAGTGTCTATGAAGTAAACATTACAACTACTGATCCAGCCTTCTTCAGAATTTCAACTTTCTCTCATCAGGGACGGCCATAAGACTTTCTATCAATGCTACCAGGAGTAAGACGGGGCAAGGTGCAAGATTTCTGAATGTTAGCAAGATGAACAGGGGCAAAAAGAAGGGAGGAAAAAAAAAAAAGAATCTTGGTGTAGTAACCACCTGATTTATTTTATATGGTTATAATTTTAATATAAATGCTCACTGTAGCAATTAAGTTGAACCCAGTTGTGTGGAGTTCCCTTAAAATGCTGGAGACCAGTTAAGTTTTCTAAAATTATCACATCAGCCACTGAAAAATATTACAGAAGCCAGGTACATACATATGGTAATTAAGGGCAAGATTTTTTTGTAAGTTTATTACACAGCAATATTACACTATTACATTGTTAACAGATGGTTTTATAGTTCAAACAAAGTATTAAACTATAAATTGAATGCTTTATTACTACATCTGTTTTCAATTTCTGCCTGTGAAAAAGTAATATATTGTGGCAAATGCACATTTCCCAAAGTTCTAAAGAGGTATCAGAGATAGCAATTGGTTTCGGTTCCTTGGTGTTTATTTACAGCACACTCTACATACATCAAGGACATAAAATAGGCAGATGATCCAATATTTCCAATAATCTAACGCATTCCAGGCTCAAATAAGCTTCCTGGGCAATCCTTTGATGAAGCAGGGCTGTGGGTTTTGATCTTTTGTTATAGGTCATCAGCTTGCTTTCCAGTGCCCCACAGCACTATGTGACCTAAAGCGCACACAAACCAGGTTGGGTGGACTCACTGCATTTGTTATTGCGTGTTGTACAGCACGTGACAATAACCACATTGTTCTTTCTAACCCTGTGTTCCTGGACAATCACCAATGAAGCTAAGGGCCTATTTTCGTAAGTACTAAGAAGGCTCGAAGATTTTTTGATGGCAGTATAAGTGCCCTATGGAATTCTGAGGGAGACAGCCAAAAAGGAGTGTTGCAGAGAACTGAGCTAGCATAAAACTTAAAGCACCTTTGTCATCCCCGAAGGACACGCAGCAATTTGTAGCTTAATGGTGTCAAATTAACACAGACCAAACTACAACTCAGAACGAAGACCAGTAAAACTTTAGTCACCCACTCTGTAAATTCTACATTTAGCTCTCAGAGTCTTCAAAGAAAGTGAGGGCATGGGGGACAGCCCATTCTCTTGCTGTTGTTCCTAGATTTATTTCTGTAAGCTTAAGCCCAAATATTAACACTAACAACATAAAGTTAAATAAACTTTACATGTCTAAGATGTCTAAGATTTATACATTAAGCAATGCAATAACAAGTCTGCAAAGCCTAAATCATCCAAAGTAAAAAGAAACAAGAGAAATGGCTGGATTCATTGAATAGTTTTTATGCATCTTACAAAAACTACTAAAAATGCCGACATATGAAATAAAGAGAAAGAAACCTAACAGAAGCGAGATGGACTATATTAGTGCTATTAGCGCTTTGAGTAAAACATGTGGGTTGCTCTAAATATTTTCCTCCTTATTTAGGTCAAATAGACCAGCTGTTTTCAAAGCATCCAATTAGCTACACAATCTCTTCTCATTATTTATGAAATAATGATTATAGGCTGGCATATTTATAAATTTAGGTAACAACAATATTTTGAAAGAAACATCACAGCATGAGAAGCCATCGTGTTGTCTTTTGCAAATTTGCCAAGTTGAAAGCATTTTGGTTTCATAATAAAAATTTCAGGAGTTAACTGCTTTCTGGCTCTCTCTCTATAATTTTGTCATTTAAATATCCAAATTTACTGAAAGTAAAACAAAGGCAGATGCCAACTCAAAAACATAGTAATTGCTGTCACGTATTACAGGACATTAACCGGACAAGTAAGATTTATGATTGCAACAGTCTGTCAACAGTCTCTCTAAAGCCACCATACATGTAATAGCTATCTTGAGAACAGGTCCGTCAGTTCAGGACTCAGTGCAGTGTTTGCTCAGCAACATTGACATCACTGGTTCAAAGCAGCTGTCGAAAATGATATTCTCCTTTTGTACTATATTTTGGGGGAATAGAAAAATTGTAACCAGGCTGAAGTTGCAAGAAATGAATTTTAGAAGGCCCCTTAATGACAGGTTAGCTTCTTAAATCGTAGTTCTGCCACTAAGAGCGAGGAGCAGCAGTTCCTCATTTCCATTACAGTCTCTGCAAGTCCTCAGCAATTGTCTCCTGTTATCATACTACAAGATTGTCGGGAAAACAGTTTTATCTTGCAATTATGCAGCTGAACAATGAGAAAAGAGAGTTTTTAGTTTAGAAGGAAAAAAAAAAAGTATGACATATGGTTATTACTGCCATTGAGAACTGTACTACTACCTGTAAGAACTGAATCAAGATTGACTGTTTGCGTGGAATGCATAGTAGCACCTTAACCATATATTTCCTGATTTTAAATCTGTGGCCCTATCATTTCTTGCAAAATGATTACTGTCTTGTGTACCTAAAGGGAGATCTTGATAAAGCATTTCCTATTTTTTCAGTTTGGGCTTATGTTTTATTTTTACACGCTAAGAGGATGAGTGACGGATAGAGGACACAGAAATAAGTTCCACACAGAAACAAGTTCCACCTTCAAAAATATTTTAGGTAAACAAATGTTATTTTGATTGCAGAAACAGCATTTTCTGTGGAATAGCGGGGCAAAAGAAAGAATTCAAACAAACCATTTCCTTGCAGATGTGTCTTACGTATTAGGTGCAAGATTCACGCTCACTTGCTTTACGCTCACCACTGCAGGACCTATGTCTATTGCTACTGCTATTCCTTTGAAGAATCATTCCTAGTTTGAGGATCCATCTGCCAGACAACTCGCACACCTGTCACCCAGATGTGTCAGACATATGTGATCCTAAAGTGGAAGAAAAGTTACAATGTGTTCCTCTGAGCAGATTTCGTGCTCAAAGAAACCCTAAGCAGAGGATATACTCTGCACAACAGCCCTTCGAGCTCGGTGTACCTGTCAGATCACATCTGCAGGATCTCACAAATTTGGTCAGGAAAGAATTGAAATATTTGGCTAAATATATCCCTTTGGTGCATTGGACACAGTTGGATCATGACAATGCACTTTCCTAGAAGGGAATTAACCAGGAGCCTTGAGGTAACAGCCGCAACTTGGGGCACACTTTTTTCTATTGACACTGCACCTTAGGACCACAACAACATTCTGTAATGCACTGCACATATACAAAACAAAAACACATGTAGCCAGTCATTCTCTTTTCCTGCTGTTTTCTCCTTATTCCTTCCAGTGTGCTTACCTATTTTCCAACACTCTCCCTCCCAAAAGGAGCTGCCAAAGAGCTAGTAGCTATATGATTTCCAGCCTGTTTACCTTTTGGGGATGACTGCTTATCTGTGGGGCAGCAAAGCAAAACACCTGTATTCCTCCAGATAAAACACAGAACTAGCTGTTTACATCATCTGTCCAATGCAAAAGGTAGTAACTTTCTAGCGTGTGGGCTCAGACTGTAAACTGATATTTTTGCGTGGGAATGGGAAGAGGGAAGTTAGCAGTAGCTGGCAACAAGAAGCAACTTTTCTTTTTCTAGTAAAGACCTCTGTGAATACTCTTTCTGTACAACTTAGAAAAACAAAAAAGCAGGATATTATCACAAGGCAAACAGCCTTTGACTCCTAAAATACACAATGTCAAAAACATATAGCACAAAATACACAGTGTCAGAAGAGGCCTGAAAGGCAATACCAACTTCTAATGAACATTTTGAAAACTATTTTCTTTTTATTGGGGAAGAGATTTTAAAGCCATATTACACACAACTGAAAATCTTTTTCTTTCAGTTCTCTCATTTTAAATGAATTCATGTAGTTCCCTTCCTACGGATAAATGTTTAGTCCTAGCGAATGACAGTCAAAATAGAAAGCTGTAAGAAAGTATAATATTATTCAGATTATTGTTTCTTTAACAATTGCTGCAGTTTCCTTCTTCTAAGGCTCATTCCACTCATTTCCACCGTGACTAGGAGGCTTCTTATCAGATTTCTTATCAGATACACATCTGAAGCATGAAAACAGCACATCTCATTAAATCCAGCACAGCAAAATCCTAGTTTGGCTATATCCCATACAGAACCATCTCCCCTTAAAGTATATTATAATGACAACTGTAGAACAGTAATGGTGAAAGTAATCTTGTAAATACATACATTTACATACTACATAATATGTATTTGATAACGTAGGTATTTCTGAAATAGCCTTGTGGCTTGTATTTTCTACTCTTACCTTGGCTGGCTTCTCAGTGCTATGTTCTCGCTTTCCTACATGGTTCCCCATGACAGATCACCAGAACTTCAAATTCTGAAAAATAAAGCCAAAATAGCATTTTTTTGAACCCATACTGACACCTTTATACTGAAATACAAATTAAATTTTATCTGACAGAACAAAAAGACAGCTCCTGTACAGGTAGAATATTTACAGTTCAAGGTAAGATCTTCAAAAACTGTAAGTAAAAAAAATGCTTATCTGGTCTGTTTTGCAAATCTAAGAAACACCAGAAAGCTTTCCTTCTTCTAAAAATGAAAAAAATACAGAAACAAAGAAGGAAAAAAGTGTTTAATGGGAAATCTGCACATAAGCCAAGACAGCAGTAGAAATTAGTAGAGGTCATCTCTTCCAATGTTATGTTTAAAATATCAAAAAAATGAAATATCTATCAACTGATCTCTATCTACAGACTTTTACAAAAGATCAAATAAATTCTTTAGAATTCACATTTGTCATTATATAAACAGCAATTACCCTCCAAACCCCACGCTGAACTGCTAGCAATTTGCTGTGGAGGTGAGAATGGACGTATTCTTTACAGCACACACCTTCATGACAAGCTGCGTAAGAATGGAGTGTCAACCCTTTCTTTGTATTTTCTGGCTCATCCTGTTGTATCTCAGCTTTAACTGAGCTCATGAAGGTTAAACCACAATACTCAAATTTCAGCTTTTGGTTGACACTTCTGACTATGCTACATATTTCTTCTCATAGAAGCATGTTTTTATAATATCTTATACAGAGCCGTTGCCTTCAGCAGATTTAAATTCAATGTAAGGAAGCATTTAAAGCCCTGAAACTTAAAACTACACACAAAAAAAAGCATCAGGTGGACATTTTCCTCTCAGAATTACGGACTGAACTTTCAGTTAGGAAGTTCAGTTTCTGGGGCTAACAGTGGTATTTCATAACTCTGCAACAATGTTATAAACATAGCGTTATAAAAGCTTTTGTGTCAGAGACCTTTGCACAACCCTCTCACTATCAGACAGTTAAGTTATTTCGTTAGGCACAATCATAAGCAAAGATTTGGGAGAAAAGGACAACAGACCTTTACTCTTGTAGAAAATGCGTGAACTCTAGCCTGTTCACTAGCTACACTCAGTGGAAAACACGGTTATAATCCCAGGTACACGGGTGGATTTGTGGACCAAAGGATACTCCTAAGGATAGAAACTTTGGTTACTTACGATCTTCCATCACAGAAATGTGTGCCTTATCAAAAGCAACCCTATCATGTCTCTGAACTGAACTTTTGGAGAGACTAATAGAGCTATTTAATTTTTCCTCAGATTACAAAGTTTCAAAGGAATGAGGTGCTACAGCATCCAATCTACCATTCACTGAACTCCATTCACTCTAAAATTGACTGACATATGCCATTGTATCTGTTAATTCCCCACTGATATGCACTTCTGATGTCTCACAAAGGAAAAATGAAAAACCATTCATTAAGCTTACAGAAGGCAGTGTTAATTAGCAAATTGGAATAACAGATTTCTTTAAACAGGGCTAGCCATCCTATAAAAGATTAGAAAAAGAAAATATACATATTCTTTAAAATTGTTAACCATCAGAAAGAATCAGCACAAACAATTCATGTTTTCCTGAAACTATGAAAATTATCATGAAAGATACAAATAAATGCACATATACTGCATTTCAGAGCTGAACTAGCTCAAACTGGCCTTTCCTCTACAAAGAGATGCATGGCAGCTCAGCTCTGACATTGTCTACTTGGCAACATAAACAAAATATCAAATGCAATACAAAGCTATAGGAAACATCCAGATAGGAATCTAAGGACATCATGTTCCAAGTGTCCCTTTTCCAGTCATATACAGAAACAAGAACTAGCAAAACTTAAACTACCATATACATTTAAGAAAACAGACTATGGAGCTAATACAACACTTGCAAACTAATACTCTCATCACTGCCCTGCCTCACCTCTCTCTCCTCGGTTTCTTCAGAGTAAAGCTTTGGGAACAACCACTATGTTCCCATGAAATACTGAGAAACACCGAGCATGGCAGAATCCCAATTCTGCATTACCAGTGGAAAAAGATATCAAAGACAATGATTTTGTACCACAATGTGAAACTACCCCAGATAAATGTTTAAAATTACCTGTTAGCCAGTGAAAACAAAAACAATAAACAAAACACTTCCGTTATGTCACAACCTAGACAGCTGCAAATGATAAGGCTGATTTTCTTTTCAAATATCTGCACAAACAAAGCAAAGCAACAACAACAAAAAAAACCCGCATAAAATGGCACATTGAAAGCCAGCTAAGGCTAATAAAATACATATGGAATACAATTAAAAAAAAAAAATGCTTGGAGAAAGGAAAAGAGGAAAACCACAACATTGTTCAGAAGTTTAGGAGTATGGTCAGTTCACCCACATACAGGCTGAGTATTAGGTTTTTCTATACGAACAGACTAAAAAGCTGAAAACTAACGGTATTTGATTAAGCCCATAAATCTGCACTCCTGTTTCCTTTATTGTTTTGAATGTGTCATAGGGACAGCATATGGTCAAAATTCACACGATCTACCCTTCTTATTCTCACATAGCATCTAGAAACTAAACACTAATACAACCAGATTTTACTTCATCTTTTCCATGCATAAATGAATGCAGATGTTTAAACACAAGATGATAAATTTGCTGTAGGTGCTCGCTACAAATTCCTCGCATAGAGTTAAAGCTACTTTTCACCAAAGGGACAAAAGCAACAATCCAGTTGCTTCTAGAAGCTACGGAATTCTTCATGCTACCTCTTAAATGGAAAAAAACTTTAAGTTAACTCTTTAGATGAAAACACTTTCAAGAAATCAGAAGTGACATAAAAGTAAAAATTCAGAGTGCAAAGTATTCTGCAGATATCTGACGTATGCATACACAGGGCATATAAACATTAAAATAATTCAGAGCAACAGATAGGAAGTCCTAATTTTTCTCTTTACACTTATGCAGAAGTCCTCCTTACTTGATTAAAAACAGAGAACACGGGTCATTTTCACTTCAGGAGGCAAGTACCAGCTGCTGCTAAGACTTAAAAACTGATTATAATGCTTACTGTTCTAAGACGACCACACTCTGCACAGTTCATACATGTTCTTATCGGTATGCAGTGAGTTGAGTCACTTCAGTAGGATTACTCATTGCATAATCTTTGTAGGAACACGCAGCCAACTATTTAAAAAATCTGACAGGGAAGATTTGTATTTTCTTTTTAGTACCTTCATAACATATAGGTTGCCAGGCTAAGAAGCTATGTCTATATTCAAGAAGCTGCTTCTAGCAGTCATTAACAAATGTCATTCAGCTGACCAATATTCTTGTTTGCATAGGAATCCATACATGCTTTAGCACAGATAAACCGCCACAAAAACAGTCATGAAGCTCCAAAATAATGAGGAAACAAAACTATTCTGGAAGTACTGTAGAACTGCAGCACCCTTCACTGAATCGGACATGAATCACATTTAACAATAAGATTCCAAAACAGGCCTGAGCATGAGGCCAATCTTATGACCGCACCAACAGTGTTTGTCCTAAACCTTCCTGATGAAACTCAAAAGGCTTCATATTTCCTGTGAGATAAAAGATTCAACATGTGAGCTTAAGTCACAAAGTAGATCTGCAATGATCCCAATACCACACTAGTTTGCCTGTAAAATTCCCTGTCAAACCTGCTGCTTTCAGCACAGTGAAACTGTCCTACAGGCACAGGAAATGACAATCCCAGTGAATAAGCTGATTTAATAGCACTGAAGGCCCAGCTGAAAATGCTTCTGCAACCCAGCAACCCTTTTGCAGGAACTTAACGAATCACACCACCAAGGTGTACATAGCCATTGCGAAACTCTGCCAGCAGCTACTCCAGTCTCAGCACTATTCCGCAACAGAGCAACAAGCTGAATCAGCTTGGCTGCCAAAACCTTGGCACTGCCCAAGCAAACACTGACACAGAAATAACCCAAGCTATCCTACACAGTTTTAAGGGATTCCAGAGCAGCCCAGGGATTCTACCTGGGGAAATAAAGTGTCCTCTCCAATCAACTTATTTGCCTTACAGAGTCAGTCTAACAAGTAACCTGATGGAAGCTAGGCCAAGCTCTCTTTTCCACTCTCCTCACGAAAGCCATATTCCAAACAACAAGGGAGGAAGGGAGGCGGGGACAGCCCCCCCCCAACACACAGTCACCTACCCAAGGAGAGAAACCTTTCCCTGTTATCTGATCAAAAAAAAAAAAACAAAAAAACCACCTCAATTCTCTCTAACTGAACAGCTGACTAAAAACAGGAGGCTGTAAACATATGTGAACTTTTTATCCCATTGCAGTCCAGCTGTTGAAATTAAATGGATATTTGTAGTTAAAAAAGAGGATCGAATCATCTCCCCCTCCCCTCCCCACGCAATCCTGTAAAAAGGTTTACATTATGATTTAAAAGCTAATTAGAAGCCTTAATGAAAGGCGGAAAATTGTTACTTTAAAGTTTTTGAACATAGCAAGAAAGGTAATGGTATTACTTTTTTCAGGTTATGCAGTTTTTACTGCAAAATGGAATTTTCTTACTCCCTGAACGGACCCTGAGAAAAGCTTAATACTAGGAATCCTCAGACACTAAACAGTGTCTGTTTTCCTCCTATAGTATCTAATAGAATATAGAAAAATTATGATGTTCTAAATACAAACAATAAATTTCAACCCAGGAGCTAGTTTACAGTGAGAACTAATTCAGGAATTATAAGAGGCCAATATACCTAGAGAACCTTTACTGAACATTAATGGTTACCTAGTTTTAAAATTCATAACCTACTAAGCCTAAATCACAGGATGCTGCAAATGGATTGTTAAGTATTATCCTCAGAGAGCAATTTAGTTATGTAAAAGAAGAGTTCGATCCTACCTCCTCCCACACACTTAAGTGCCTGAGTCAACAGAACTACTCATAATAAAGGTATGCAAGTACTTACATATTTACAAGTATCAGATCACAATTATTACCTGGTCTAGGAATATGGGTTCAGCACAGACTGATGTTGGTGACTAATGGTGTGGAGCTACAATGCTAGATACACTTACCAAGTGCTTATGGCCTTCTTCATGGGAAGAGTTGCCACAGAAAATAAAAACATTTGAGGAACTTACTTAAAACTTTTCCTGCTAAATGAATGAATACTTTTTTCCAAATAAAAATTATATTTGTTACTATATCCTGATTACATCAGTTAACACAAAAAGAGTTAAATTACCTTTAAGAAATGCGCAAATTTGGTTTAATTTTTGGCAGCCTTCTAACAGTGGCTCCCAATTACAAACTTACCCAGCAAAGTGACTTACAAAGAAAATTTTTTTCCAGCCTCAGGTCCAGGTGATATAGCTTCCTGGGAAACAAGCTGAAATATTTCCTAGCACTGGCTGGCACCTAGCTGGAAACGCCCGAGTGTTTTTTAAGCTTTCTAGCGATACGCATCTTTGGAAGGAAAGCTTGCACTTCAGCCTTCTTTCATAACCGATCAAGACACTGGGCACATGTAAACTGTTTATTCAGAATTCCCTCCTTGTAGTAATTTGCTACCGTAACGTATCAAAGAAGAATCTTTGGATGGATCAGGTGAGTGACCTGCCACTAATTCCACCAGTAGCCACAGTCAGATACTGCAGTGACAGATGCAATCAGCCACGTAATAAAGGTAACCTGCCTCATGGGTAAATTCCTCCCTAGGAATCCTGCCCTCCTAATTAAACTGTTAAATTATTTATTAAAATAATGCTGAAACTTCTAAGGCATTTAAAGCATTATAATTTAATCTAAATTTAATTTTTTATTACCATGAAAGTGTGTAATATTTGGTAGATCACACCATATTTTGCTTTTGCCTTACACAACAGTATTTCTCTGAGCAACCCTTTCTAAAATAAAAACACGTTATTCCAGATATAACACATTATATGTCAGTCATGTGCACAACATGTCAGGCATGTGCCAAGACTTCAGCGGCAACTATAATTTTTTAATTGGAAAAGCCACCAGGAGTTCACTACTGATACATGCATTTAGTTATGTTTATACAGTGCCTTCCGTAATAGAAACTTGCCCTTCTTGGGCTATCTAGATATTACAATAATTTTCATGTTTACAGACAACTGCTTGTTCCTTAGCTCTAGTAAAGCAAGGAACCGATACGTAAAATACTACCCTTCAAAGAGATGGCTGCAGATCTGAAATGCTCTTTATACAAGAAGTAGAGAGGTATCTGTACTCCCTAGTGCTTGCTCAGTAGTTTAGCTACATCTCATGTCTCATCGCAAAGGATACCAAAAATCATTCATCAATCAGCATAACTTCATTCAAACATTATGACACAGCAGAAAGGCTATACCACTAGGGTAGATGATATGCTGGCAAAGACCACTGTTGCAAGCTATTTCTTCAAAGTGTCATGGGTTAGCCACAGCAGACAGGACCCAAGAATTTTTTTAACATCTTTTCCAACTGCTTTGTTCACTTTTTTCCTGTCTATCTGTCTCCAACAAGAAAGATATCACTTTTTTTTTTTTTTTAAATATTGTAATTTTCAGGGATCTCACCACAGTACAGCTAAGAACAGTCCGAACTTGATTACAGATAATAATCTATAACAAAAAATTAAAATGAAACAGTGAAAACATACACATCCTGTAACTTAGACTTCTCTTGCTTTTCTCTTCTTTCTGCAATCCACTCCACTCCCTTTTCTGAAACACTGTCAGCCTCATCCTCCTCATTAGGAAAAAAAAAAGAAATGATCTTAACAATAAGTCTTTCAACAGAGCTTTTCTGCTTCCCTTCTTGAACAGATAAATATCCTTTTAATGTACTTTAGCACACACTGATATCCATGTGTTACTCCCTGATACAAACACGAATCTTGAACAATTATGATCAGATTGTATTAACCACATGGTCACTGTTTGTCTTCAAAACATCAAGATTCATGGAGTACTATGTGACAATCTGGAGGGTCAGAAAGAATTATCTCTACTTTAAGAGCGAGGACAATACATTTGACAGGGAAGCTAGCAATCGTTCCCAGAGCTCCAGGGTAACGTGGGGTGACCCCTGCACACCTGAGCCCCACCACCACACCATCCCACCTTCCAGTCATACTGCCAATGACTGTGTCCTCCTTTGTGCCACAGCAGCTACACCTCAGATGCTTGATAAGAAGAGAGTTTCCCTGTATGTCCCTCCCCTGCGCCTTCAGTGAGGCACTTGAACCTCACGAACCAGGGCAGAGAGGACCATGTAGCCTAATACACACATCATTTTAGCCTGTTCCAAAATGAAATGTTACACATCATAACCGCCTCCTGTAAATTATAAAACTATATAGTAGACTAAGACTGTCACCTTCCACCACCATTGTGCCTGAAATACCCTCTCTCCTTCCAGATTATACCTCTGCAGAGGTGCGCTTCACCTCTTAGCTTCAGTAAGTCATAACTAAAAGGCATAAACTCGTCATAAATGCTAAAATATAAAAAATAAACAAACAAAAAAAAAACAGAACACAGGAATACATAATGTAAATGTAACATTAATCAGGAAAAAGAAAGAAGGAACTGAATTTCATTCTTTTTAACTCATGAAGAATTTCAGGCCAAAGTAATAATTTTCCAGTACTGCACGGTAAAAGGCAGAGAGCAATGACGAAACCAGACAGACAAGCACCATTATTTGTTACTTAGACACTTTGAGTTTTTCAGATTAAGGTCCTCCGAGATCAAAGGATACCTACCCAGCATCTATTTTCACATAACAGTGAACAAGATACTATGAAAACAAGAACAAGATATATTTGAAGACTCACATTTTTTTTCTGTTCTCCAATCTGAGAAAAATAAGAAGTCCTCTCCAAATGGTGAACGGTATATCCTCCCGTTCTAAGTGAGGAAGGTCACCTAAGGCTTCCTAAGGAAGGCAGCCACTTTGATGATCAGCATTTCATTAACACACTGCAGTGACTGATGACAAAACACCCACCTGCAGTTCTAAATGCACATGAATCAAAGGCACCGTACGCTGGCTCTTATCTTTTCTGGCTCTTATCTTTTCGTATTCAACGGACTGACAGATGGGACACAAAGATGATTCACCCTCTCCAGACACCGTTAACTTTGCTGTGACAAAACATTTAACCCTACCTCCTTCTCATGTAAATAGCTCACCTCCCCCAAAAGAACAAAACAAAAAACCTCCTCTCTTTCTGCCCCACCTTTCTCTCTGTTCTGACTTCATATGTAGTCCATCCATAATGTAAACTTATCAACCAAGAGGTGGGTTTTCTACAAATGCTCCTCTATTATATTTGGCATAAAAATAGCTATCACAAAAGGCTCTGACTTTTCACCATACTCCAAGTTGACTCTCTAGTCTAAATCTACTGCTGTAAAGCCAGGTCTCTTCCTGCTCATAAATCCACTGCCAAGGACGCACAAAATCCAGTTTTTCTTCTTCTAACAAGAACTGCATCCTTAACAATATGCTCATAGTCCTCACTCCATATGTTATGCTCTTCCCCTCTTTTTGCCTTCTCTTTTTTTAGCCCGATTGCCTGAGCATTCAGGCATGAAATTATGCTCTGAAAACAATTTCTTTTTAAGCGACTTTACGGAAGCTTAGTCCTCACATTTTTTAGCCTGTGAATGTGCTTAACACATGTAACAAGGTAGTAAAAAAAAAAAAAATCATTTTACTTTCTAACAGGTTACTGTTATTATCTTGCAGCCTATTAGCACACACACAAACAAGACTCTCCAGCTTGAAAAGGTTTGCTACGTATGTTGCGAGCGACAGGTACCTCATAAAGTTTAAGTAAGGACTTGCAAATTCCTCTACTTCTAAATCAATAAACTAATTTGAGAACACAGTGGCTTCAAAGCTGGAGGGAAGCAATTTTTTTTGAGCTCGTGAATACCAGCCTGGCAACGCAGATATTATTACAACAGCTTGGGATTTTCTCCCTTAATGGTATAGGTAGCCGACATTCCCTTCTGAACAGAGAAGCAGAAAATACTTATTGTTAAGGTCAACTGTAAATGGGAAAGGCAATAATATATCTGCAAAATAAACAAATTTATCTCCTTTTCAAAGGGAATTTTAGTCTAGGTATATTGACCTCGATTTGTTTAGGTGTGAGGCTCAGCAGGTTACAGCCACTATGCTATGAGTTGTCACATTTTGGAATTTTAAATTAATGAGTAACAGCAGCAATTGTGCTACTGAAATCTGCATGAGAAACCACTTAAGTCTTTATATCACCCTGCTACAATTTTTGTAATTGTGGGCTTCTTCTAATGTGCTTTAACTTTAGTGCATCGCCCAGTTTTATTTAAATCTTAATTCCATGTACTACTGTAGCTTTCCCAATCTTTATACAGACTTTGTAAAAAAACAATATAGAAACACTCATTACTAAATAACTACTGAAGAGAACAATGACAGCCCCAGGAAAAAAATTTCTATTTAAACATGAGAATGTACAAAATGTACAAAAGTCAGAATTAATTCCTTTCCTTCCATTAAAAAGAAAATTGGAGCAATTATTTCATGTTAAAAGCAAGACAAAGGACCGTGTCAGGTCAAAAACTAGTTTCTTCAGGATAGTCTTCCAAAGTAGTTCAGCATTCATGTCATAGCTGTATTTTATTCAGTGGACCAAAATAAACAAACAAAAAAATCCCAACAAAATATTGCAATGTGACACAGTAACAGGGTAAATTCAAAAGAGTAAGAAAAACAAGGAGATGAGCAGCTTATTTGCTTTCAAAGCTGAACACTAAAATACACCTCAAAGCCTATTCTGCCTTTCCCATTATATTATTAAAGTTAAGGAATCTTAAAAGATAGTATTCACTGCACTTGTCACAAGAATATTTTCTTCTTGATCAAGTTACGCTTCTGAGCTGTGGGGACATAAGTGAATGCTGTTAAAATAAAATGTATCAAGTATAATCATTAAAATTGTGATAGTTCCCACAGCCCTCAACCAAAAGAAGGTCTTATTAGGCCAGACAAGATGCAAAGATAGTGAGGATGCAAGAGATAAGTTAAGGCCAATATGCAAAAAATTACTTACAGCCTACTGGAGAAGCTTAGGTAGATAGTAGAAATTTAAATCCAAAGTTGTAATTCTGCAAACCCTTCTCAGCTACCATCTAATTTTGGGGTTTGTAATCGCAACAGAAACCTCCTTTCTTATTTTAAGAGTTCTTTAAGGACTTCAAGTTCTGCCATCAGTCACACAAAATAGTACTCCAGTCCTAAGTACTCCATGGTTAAGCAGCTTCACACCATTTTACACCAAAACCTCATCAAAATACAATAGTGAGGTATTTATCTGCCGTTCCAGGTCTTATTTCAGTAGACTTTCTCAGAGACATAAAATGCTAACTATCAGGCTCAGGCTTATCACAAGACAAAGTGGAAACCACGGTAATTTTTTTTTTTTTTTTTTTTTAAAACAGACGTAGTGGGTGGTCACTCATGCCATTAAATAATAAGCTTGTGATTAGCATACTCACACAGGATGTGGGAAACCAGGGATCATTTTAGAAGGTATTGAGGGGAAAGATCAGTCTGAGTGGATCACAGGGTAACTCATATATGAGTCATCAACATGATCTGGCAAAGAAAAAGACAAGACAAATACAGACCTACATTGTATCAAGAGAGTTTATTTCCTATGTCGTATCACGAGAGATTATTTCCAGTCAAGATAGGGAAGAATTAACGTCATCATACAAGCCACTGATATAACCTCAAATGAATACTGCATGCAATTCTGGACAGCCACATTTAACTACATGAATTTTTTACTAGAACAGATGTGAGGGTGATGAGAGGAATAAGAGCCTATTATTCAAGGGTAAGATTTAAAGGCCATGAAACGTGAATCCTAAGAAAAATAAAGCTAAATGACAATGCTGACAGAAGGAAAAAAAAAAATATACACTGCCCATGTATAAATCTCAACTGAGAGTCAGAATGCTTGTTCTGAACATCAGAACAAGTGTCTGCAAAAACTAGAGGAGAGTAGAAAACCTAAACGCTTTGAGATAGACATGAACCATGTGACCGCTGTATTTAAGAGACTGCATGACCTCATTCTTGTCATAGCAGAAGAATGGATCAAAATGGCACAGGAGATTCCGACTGCCTAAGGATATTCAAATTCATATTTCTAGAAAGTATAGCTGGAACACGGTGGTGGTAGGGAAATGGAGGAAGTAGTACCTTTTGCTGATTCTATTCGCATACTGACAATAGACATTAAAAAACAAACAAACAAACAACCGAAGCCAGATAAACTGGGATTCCCTGTAAAGGGAGGGCAAAAGTGTGCACAATCTTTACCAAGTTGCGCTTTACTGGGGCACAGTAGGATACTGGACAATTAGACTTTGTTCCCCACTCAAGAGTTCATTTATAAACTCCTATTCAGTCATTATATCATACGATATACGATTCACACAAAATGATCCCTGCGCAGAGTGGGAACCAGAACTCACATCCTTCATCTCACCCACTGTGGCTGCTGTAACCACACAGCCAGGATCCTCTTTGTTTGCTTTTCTTAAGGCTCAAGGAAAATTGTCACTCCTACTGATCACAGGCACGACTCCACAAAGGAAGGGAACCAGCAATCTTGTCCTACAGCCTTTAACGTCACAGTACGCTGCTGGGAGTGGGAAATGAAGGTCTGAATCCCTTCAGAAGAGAGGAAACCAATCTCCATCCCAAACACGTCACTGCAGGGTCCAGGCTAGGCAGCTCTTCTGCAAGTTTGTCGGCATCGGCCTTCAAGAAGGGATTGCTGGAGACAGACTCTGGGAAGGGGAACAGCAGTGCAGCGCAGTGTTGCCCTCGATCCTGCCATGCTTCCTCCAGGGGTACTGACATCAAGGGTCCTGCCATTCAGCGTCTGGCTGACTTCAGTAATAATCCAAGGCATCTAATTCTCCTCAGGCATGAGATAGACTAGGTACTTTATAGGAGGCTCCAGAAGTCATTTTTAACCTGTGTCCCAAATCATTAACAAACCGACTGCTCTTTTTATAACATTCCTCTGAGACAATATTCCAAAATAAGCTTTTAAAATATCCTCTCCTCCTTCAGTAAACACTCCACCATGTGTTAGTAATAATGAGTAATGTGTACAGTCTATGAATGGCACTTACATATATCTCTGTGTGTGTTTGTATATAAACCATAGACTGTCCAGCCACAGACGTTTCAAACCTGTGTGCATCATACCACTGATTCATTCAATAAATGTGCCTTTCTTTTTAACAAAGTTAACTGCCCTTCAAAAAATGGATACTGAGGTGCTGGTTTGCCACATTTCTTACTTCCGCACCTCAAAAAACAACTCTACCTAATCTGTTAGTATTATACACCAAATTTTATTCATCTATCATGCTCTTGGGCAACAATGGTTCATAACACTACAAGTTCAGTCAATAACACAACAAATCATTTTCTAAAGTACAAATTACACGTTATTTGAATCAGAAACTGTCATTTAACACTTACATGAATTATCTACAAGTGAAACAATAGGTCTTTTACATAATGCAGCATCTTGCATAAAGCAGCTCATATTGAAATGATCAATCAGTTTTGCAAGCAATGATCAGTTGCAATGATCAATCAGTTTGCAAGCAATGAAATTATACTGATAGTGTTTAACTGTTTTTTTAATTACGTTTTGCTTTACTGGAAATCTGACTATCATAAGATAGTGGTTATGATTAGTTTGAGGAGATGTTGCAGCTGCAGCTGTGCACTCCCAAACACATTGGAGAAGATCTGTATACAGCACCAGTCCCTTCTTTATGCTAACACTTCCCAGCTGTGGTCCTTAATATTTAATAGGTAGTATTTTATATTCTTACAATAATTCTGGATGATGGAACTTGCCCTTACAATGCTAATGCCACTCTTTTAATCACTACCTTCTTTTGGAATATCTAACATGTTCAATGCACTTCTATTTATAGGTAAGTATCTATCAGTAAATCCACTCCTACTTTGGTATTTGAGCATCTGCCAAAATTAATGCCAATCACCAAATGAAAATATATCACTACTAGAAGAAGAAAAAAAAAAAAGCTTTCCCCATTTTTGATCTTGAAGCACATAATATTCACTCAAAAATACTCCAAATCAAAACATGTCCCCACCCCCAAACCACAAGCTTCATATTATCTGGTAAGGATGTTTAAAAACCGTAAGCTAAAAGCACTGCAAACTTTGTAGGTTTCTAAAGTTAAGCAAAGTGGGCAGCAGTAACCACTACAACTGCTTTTTAACATTGCTGCATATGAATATTTCACCACTCTGGATACATTAAAGTCCACTTATATTCACTCTTAAATTCAATTAGTAATGCACATAAATTTTACTTATTTTGGCAACTGTATCACATGAATAGCCAGTTTGGGCTAAATGTCTACAGCACTTAAAATGACATTACATCACTTCTCCACTAGAATAGAGAAGTTTTGCAGATCATACCATACATGCTCTCTTAAAGGTCACATGTGGAAAATATATAAGCAGATAATAATACAGCCAGAGGCATAGCTAGGCCAGGCTAAGTAGGACTGGGATTTGCACAGGTTAGTACCAGACTGGTATCACATACTCATAATTATTAGGGCACTTAATAATTTTCGTATCAAGTATTACTCATTTAGAGTCATAACATTCTGGCAATATCTTGTTCCTCACTTGTTTACTCTTTGCACACTACAGCCCAACCATATCCAAAACACAATCCAAGATACATCTTTTGTCCCAACTGAGAATTTTCTCATGCCTGTTTTTCCCTCCAACCTTTTATTATAAAGATGGTATTGCAAGCAGAAGTAATTTTCTTTCGCTGGCCATAAACATCCTATATATGCCGTATGGTAATGCTACTCTGCATTCTGTTCCATCCGGACTTCAATTTCTTGCTTTAGCTTCCTCTGAAGGTCATTTTTATTTTCTACGTCTCATGTAAATTGATACTACTTTTGTGAGGCTGCAAAACTCACATGCCTATCTCAGGTTCTTTATTACGAATTTCTGTCAGCACATCAGTGAGAAGAATTTCTTTGACGATGCACTAGACCTGTTCTTTACGACAAAAGTTGAAGTAAGATAATTTATTTTAAGTGTACCCTCCAGGTTTATTTAATGATAGCTTAATCTTTGGGAACTCGAGCGATACCAGACCTTATAAAAATTGATATTCCATGTATATCAGACTTAGTTCACAGAACATTACTGTAAAAATACTGCAAATCTCTTAAAAGTGACAACTTACGTTTCAATAAAGATTCAAATCTGTGCAATAACTTTGAAGCACAGGGTTCCCAACCATATACAAATAAGAATAATTTCAAACATTTCTGAAATGCATCAAACTTTAAACATGGCAAATACTTAAAACGCTTGAAACAGTAAATAATAGGCTACTTATTCAATTAACACTACAACTGGAATTCTTATACAAGGAGAACGGAATTGTAAGCAGAATTCAGCCAGCATACCCAAAGTTAACATTCTTCCCAAACAAACAAACAAAAATCCTTCACAAGATGATTCAATACCACAAAAAGACATGTGCAGAATAATCTTTTCATCTATTTAGAGCTAGTGTGACAGATATTGATGTCTTAAATTCTTCTTGCATATATACAGCATATTCAGTAGGACATATGAAAATGGATTTATCTTATCATAAACCCATTTGATCTTACTCACTTGGGTGGTCTTTTCTTACACAAGCAAACCCACTGAAGACTATTGCATTATTTTACATCATGAAGACACTGCAAAGACAGCTTTCATACTTGTGTGTGCCAGTATTATTGCTGTAATGCATGTGTGATTATGAAATTATTTAATTGCTCTTTCCCAAGCTCTGGTTATTTCTTTCAGGTTAAAGTACAGAATAGGCGGATTGTGAAATACCTTTAATCTATTTGGCCATCTTCAAATGTCATACTTGTATGTTAATCCTTTTTTCATAGAGTCTAGTTTATTCATCTAGGGTAAAAGGAAACACGAATTTACACTCTGCAAATAATTAAAGCATGAAAAACAGATTCCTGTAAGAAACATATGCATTAGAGACAAAAGAACTTAGATGAAATTTACTGTAGAGGTTAGCAGTTACCTTTTAGCCTCTGACTTTTTCCCATATGCATTTTTCAGTCTTAGTTTTGAAAGCTTCAACATAAAATAAAATAAATGAATACACCAAGCTTTTGGGATACCTGTAGGAGTGAGTTAAAATACTAAAAATTATTTGCAGTCTATATTATTTTTTCTTAAACTGTTTGTCTTACTAAAATTAAACACTACTGGAACTTCATTAAAAATGTAAGTTAATTCCAACACATCATTTAAAATGAATTATGAAAGCTGTATTTCTGATTAATTCACTGCTGATAGGATTGTTAGTACAACATTTCTGAACTGCAAGATATAACTCTTACATTATAGTTCAGGTACTGATCCTGGAGAAATGTTTCATTAAACATATTTATAACTTGACTCCCACTAGGTTTTTCAAATCCTAAATAATAATGCAATCTATGTATAATACATAATAATATAATGTAATGTATAACCACGCACTGCAAGAAACTAAGGACAACTATTGTCATACAATGAAATTATTTTGATATATGATGAACTACACAGAATAGTCAATGTTCATCAATAACCAAAAGAAGATGGAGATTTAAAGGTCTGATTCAGTAAATTATGTGGTGCCACTGACAAGATCCAGGAAATATTAAATCCCCCAGTAAGTTATTGTGAATCTAGTGCTCAGCAGCATACAATCAGGTTAAGTTTGTTTGCTTCTTAGTAGATGCAAATTAAGTAAATCTCAGCTTTCCTGTGGGTCTTACTACATTGAGCTTTTTTTTTCCCCTCCAAGGATCAACTGACAAATTATAGTAATGGGAAAAGTCTCAAAATTATGACTAAATGAAAAAAAAAAAAAAATCCACAAGGCAGGGGAGAAAAGTCTTATATGTGTTTCAGTATACCTGAATGTAACAGAATACAAATAAAGACTTTCACATGCCTACTCACTGGCACCCATATATGCATTTATTTGTTTAACAAGGTATTAGCAGAATTATGGAACTAAATAACTCTTTTTCCATGAAAGACTATCCAATACAAAGCCAATTGGCTGTAAACAGATCACAATACAATAATCAAACCAATATAATTATCAAACTTACTGTAACTTCTGCTGCCACCTGCCTTTCTTGCAAAATCCTCAAATATATAGAGTGCACGAGTCATTCCAGCAGCAGCATCCTTTTTCCTAACAAACATCTTTCCTCAGGCCACATGAAGTCCCAACTCGTTCATTACCACATTCCCAAACTGCAGGTGACCCGTCTGTGACCAGCATGCACACAGTTACCTCCAGGAGGGCAACAATTAAGCATCCAGAAAAGATGAGCAGGAAAGGGGCTGTGCATGTCACCAAGTCCGAGATATCACTGGGAAAGAAAGCAACTCAGTCCAGCCTACTTCAATTGTTAGCTAGTCTGCTTCCATGGCATGTGCAAACACATGTATACCTGAATGTCGGTTTTGGGCACATGAAAGAGAAGCAGGTGATTGCGAAGAGACAGCATGGATTTACCAAGATTAAATTATGACTGACCAAAGTGATTGCCTTCTGTAATAAAATGACTGGATTTGTGGATGAGGGAAAAGCAGTTGGTATCTACCTTAATTTTAACAAGGCTTTCAACAGTCTCCTATAGCACCTTTCTATCTAAGGTGATCTAGGTAACAGTCTAGGCGGCTGGACAACTGGACAGCTAAAAACAAACAAACAAACAAATCTCTGTCATTAGGCTCAACAGGTTAACGGTTTGCACTCTAGCCATAGGTTGGCTGCAAGTGGAGTAAATCAGGGATCTATCCTGTTTAATAACATTAACAGTGACCCGGAGGAGGGTACAGAAAGTACCATTAGCAAGTGTCCAGTCAACATCAAACTTGAGGTGTACCTGATATACCAAGGGGCAGGGTTGCTAGTCAGAAGGACTTAGATAGGCTTGAGGAATGACCTGACAGAAACCTCCTGAAATTCAACAAGGCCAAATGCAAAGTCCAACATTTTGGACAGACTAACGCCCTACCAGAGCACAGGTGGAGGACTGTCTGGCTGAGGAGCGGCTCTGCTGAAAAGGACCTGGAGGTCCTAGCAGACAGTAGGCTAGACAGGACTCAGCAGTCCCTGCCCCCAGCAGCCAGTGAAGGCTAACAACATCCTGGGCTATATCAAGAGGAGCTTTTCAAGACTTCACTGAACAAAGCCCTAAGTAACCTGGTCTGCTTTGGGCAGGAGGACAGATTGGAGCCCTCTCAAGGCCCCTTCCAATCTCAGTGAGTCTATAAATCTATGTCGGAACTGTGTACGTATGCCACGCAGAGCACGCATAGTTACGCACAATGCTTCCAGAAAGACAACAGAAACTTCAGGCATACTCAATACATGCTGCACAAATAATCTACGTACATGCAGGTAAACTGCATACCTTCACCATTCTCTGAACTTCATGCACAACAGGAGAACTGCATATGCAAGTATGTATTTAGTTATGTGACTGAGGAAGGCCCCACAGAACATGTCCTTCAAAAGCCTCAATAATGCTGCTTGGCTCACTGAATCAGGAAGACTGAACAAACTTAACTACAATTAATCCAAAATTTACTTAGTAGCACTAAAGTTATAAAAAAATACACAGACACACAAACACACATACGCTCCCTCCAACCAAATGTTAATCATAAAGAGGAAAAGACTACAGGTACAGTGTCCCCTTTGCAGTTGATATAATAATCGCTAGTAGCAGAATATAAAATGGAGTTAAGACTACTGACTATGATGGTATTCAGTGTTGTGCCACACAACGCCATTAAGTCAAAAAGCATACTTTTGTTGTTGCTACATGCTATTTGTGGTAGGTATATTTTGACTTTCTCACCAAAGCCTTATAGCTGGACAAAACATTACTCACAAAGAGATGAAAGATAAAAAAACCTTACAATAAAAGACTAATTAAAAGTAACGGAAAATATTTTTCAACCTTTCTTACACTTTCTAGGGCACACGGAATTATGACTTGTGGTTACAAGTTCCAGCCTCTATGTGGAAGTGCTTTTGTTAATAAAGAAGGTTGAGGCATTCAGGTTTTAGAATAAAACAAATAAACAAACAAAAAACAATCCGACAGTGATATGAATTAAAAAGCTATTTTCACTGCATGAGGAGGAGAAGAGGAAAACATTTTGCAACCCACTCAAATCAATCAAAATTTAAGACAAACTTTCAGTATTAATAGTCCTACATTTAGCTGAAAAGCACCTATTAAAATTCCCTTTAAAATTACAACAAAATCAACTTTCTGTGTGACCTTGTTATGTGTTCTATTCCATTGGACAAGATTACCTTTATGAAAAACAAAAACAAAGCTAACTTATTGCCTGCCCTCCAGGTGAACAGCGCTGAGTCAGACTAGGCTGATGAAAGCTATGCAGAAGCTTATACTTATCTCTCTTTTCCACAAACAAGTCAGGGCAAAGTAACTGCACAGATAAAAGATAGTAAAAATCTAAGTCAGGGAGTTTCTATTTGTAGAAACTATACATTTTAGTTAATAAGCCCCTTGATATAGCAACTACCACCACTTGGGAAAAGACACTAAAACATCCAACAAGAACCAAAATAGTAGATAATTATAATTGTTTTCCTCTAAGTCAGTTCCAATTACTTGAGCGTATATTTTAAGCCAGAAAATAACCATGAATAGAACATCACTGTTTGGTTTTCTTTCTCCTTTCAGGAAAATAAAAGGAGAATTAACACCAGGGCTAATTTCAGGAACGTGAAAAGGTCATCACTAATTTTGCTGATATATGAATCATTCCATGCAACTACAGTAATCAAAAAACTTCTATTTACACAATAACTCATCACTGTCTGTTGGTCTACCTTTCAGGTATATATTTTTTCCATTAAACTAAGCAACGTAGAGATGAAAACACCTGTAATCAAATTGCTAAGTAGAGTATTTTTCAGTGACCATTTCACTAAAGGTCCAGATAAAAATGGGCCTGTGTAATTTGATAGCGGATTTTAGTATTCTTTTAGGGGAGTCTGTTTTCTATTCCTATTTTAGTTCTCTAGAATGATCTGAACTGTCAAAATGCTATGAATACAGCACAATGACTATCTCAGGGTTAGAAAGTTTCATATTATAAGGATTATATCAATTTTTAAGGATAAGGATTTGAGGGACACGTCAATCTCCAAAATTACCACTTCATATTGTTTCATTAGTATCTTATCCCTTACCATAAATCTGTGGAAAGTATCGGTCTTATTTTTCTTGTTTTGGCTTCAGTCCTTGCCATTATAGCTTTCAGTATGATTGGTCCTTTCTAGACAAAAAGTTGTGTAGTTGTCCTTCATACAAAAAACAGGCAGATGGGTAAACCCATGATAATTCTTTCTGTACTGTTTTAACACTTAAAGGGACAGGTATCTGATTTTATTTTAACCACTGCAAGTTCTGCCTGTACTAGCTATTCAAATGATATTCCAACATTACTTTTCACCCTGAGCATTAACAGGATTCAAAAAGATAGTCCAATTAAGGACTAACTGAATTGTTTATGCTCCTAAGAAGAGAGTGATGTCAACATCTGGGAAATAACAATGATGAAGAAAGATGAGCGAAAAGTGTTGCAGTGCATTACATAAGACTGTAAAGCAAGATCTGCTTTGCTATTAACCATGAGATGTTGCTGACTGAACGGTAATCCCAGAAGCCAGTGAGTCTCTCCCGAGATCTATGCTGTTCAAGGAATTTGCCATGACCTTGTGAAACAAATACTTCCTGGAAGTGGGCACTATAGGAAGTCAATGGGAATTCTGAAAATATTAGTGAGAAGAAAATGGCTATGAGTTTTGGTATACTGACGACACTCAGCTTTACACACAGATTTTAAGGCAAGAGGGCAATAACAGCTCTCCACTGTAGTCTACGGAGCAGAGGCATTAAAAAAAAAACTGGCCTTTATATCACTCAGGAGACTAACTCAGCCTATACAAAATCTGAGCAATGGGTGAAATTTGGCCTGCTGGAGTGGACAAGATGAGAGTGATATCGATAAGACTGTGGAAAAAAAAAATTTGAGGAGATGGTAAAAAACCTAGTATCCTCTGCTTACCACCTAAAGCACTCAACTAGCATTACAAACCTAAATTCATTACTTCAGCAGCAGATAAACAGGTGTGTTTGGAGTATCAGGCACCAGTGGAGGTCAAGACAACATTTAACTATCTGCATCTGACGAGGTGAGTATAAACTTCTGTTTTGGATGCCAGTCTTCCCATCAATGGCCATGCTGATAGCACTTTTTAAATTGAGATTACTTTCAAAGATCACCAAAACAGAAGCCATTCTACCTTACTTCAATATAGGAAGTCTAATATGTAGATCCCTTCCGTTCTTAATTTCCCCAACCTGTGAGGGAAATATTTAAATTTAAACGATCCCAGTGTTTAAATATTCAAGAAATGATATGCTAAGAATTAAAATAATACACTAAGAAATTTTGCAAGTGTTGTAGCCTTCGTTTATTTTGTTCCAAGAAACAACTTTCCTTCCAATGTGCAAAACAAATCTAGTATGGAGCAGTTGATAAATTGATCAAAACCAGTGGAAATTAAAAAAAGATAACAATAAACTATTGCACCTGCAGTCTGTGTATATTTCAAAAAAAGGGAAGCTCTCATTTGACAAATCTTTTCAGATTTATCACTCTGCTTCTCTCTTCCCTTTGAAAGACCTTATTAAAGCTTCAAGAAAAAACAATATTATCAATCGTGAAGTAAAGAGTTAGAAAACTGCAACTTTGCTACTGGGTTATTTCAAAAGCATTTCAAGAGAGAAGGAAAAATCTGGCTGGAAGTTTCCATGTTATTTCTTGTTTTTCTCTCACTTGCCCTCTGCGTGGGCTTTCCTGGGACGTGTCCAAGATTTACATCTATTCCAAGCAGCAAAGCTGGGATTTCACAGTTATTGCAACTGATGTAAGAAGTGTTACAGGAATGATCCCACTTTTTATTAACCAAAAACTTGTCCAGTTATTTTTCAACCAAGCATTTTTAAGAAGTGTAAAGCACTTTTCTGAGTATGAGAGACCCAGAAGGTTAAAGCCCAAATATGCTTGTCGGAAACTGTTTAAGCACCTGCATTTTAGAAGTTCTTTAGCCCTAAAAATATCTTCTCAATAGATTCTGGACTCTTTAAAGAAAATAGTAGGAGGTTGCATTTTGTTCTCTAGAGTAAAGTTGAGGCCAATATGACTCACTTTTCACAGTTTCAGTCCGCAAGAACTTCTCAAATAAGAAAATGAGGTATAGTAAATGGAAATGAGGGTCACTGGTATCTCCTGAACATCAGAAGAATTTCTTATTTTTAAATAACTCAAACTGTGGAAAACAGCTGGCAAAGCAAGAAAACATTGTTTTTTTGGGGGTTTTTTTGGTTTTTTGTTTTTACGAGTCATGAGTACAATTTGTGGTTCAGAAAGTTAATGAAATTGCTGTACATTATCTACATAAGCAACATTAAAATTGATTATTACTATACCCAAAAGCCTACCTGACACAAATAGTTTAACCAGGCTTCTGTTTGATATTTGAATGGTGATTAGATGGTAGAAGAGAGGACTGTCTTTATTTGCAAAAAATACATACATGAAAATAACCAGAGAAATAAACAGAGAAAAAACGTAATGATACGAATGAGACGATTAAGTGAAAGAAAACCTGTAAGAATAAGTCTGACATATTTAGTATCCTTTATTTAGTGTCAATGAAAATGAAAGATTAGACACTTATCATTGTCTCACTGGGGGGGGAGAACTGCTAATAAAGTTTTATGCAAAGACGTGATTTACTCTGTGTACAGTTTAACTCTACAGTGCTTAGCACAACTAAGGACATTTCATTCAAATTCTCAGGTGGACAAAATCCTTAGAGACCTAGATTTTGATTGTGTCATTCATTGTTGACTGTATTAGCATTTATCACCATACTGTGCTTCTTTAATAAGCAAATGCTTCATGTGAGTTCTCTCTTCAGGGTAGGAACAATCTGCCTGCAGAATGATTAGCACAATGAGGCCCACAACTATGACCAAAGGCTACAATAATACAGCCATAATGTAATCTTCCCTGAAGTTAGCTACTGCCTTGGGCATCAGTAGCAATTGGATCAAGACTGTCAGAGACTAAATTGTTTATTTTATACTGAGTATCTAATTAGGTTCCAATTAAGCAGTTTATGCAGAAAGCCGGGTGCCCCAGAAAATGGGTATTCAATAATATAAATAATAATATGCAAATAAACTACTGGAATCTAGTGCTCTCTCTCTAAAGCTCCACTTGCACAAGTCATTTGAGCAGCTGAGCTCTTAAGCGTATACCCTTTTTCTGATTCTTCTCCCACTGGCTGTTACTTTTATTTTATACACAATATTTTAGGCTTCTTCAGAAGTGATAGTGTCCTGCTGTTTTTCCTCTTGGAAGCACCTAACGATTCTGGACAGCTACAATAGCCTTTTCCACTACCACTGCTTTCCTTCCTGATGCCGCTCTTTCAAATCTTCAACACAGTTATTTTAAAGTAACCAGACAAACTCTTGCTTTACAGAACAGCATCAGCTATCCGTATTCAAAACTGCATCTAAACACTTTAACTTTGACATAGCACTGTTGATCACTGGTGCCCTTTATTTTAGTAAGACCTTCACCACAGAAAACATGCATCACAGCTTCCATGTGACATCCTGCCTGAGAGAAAAATTATTCAGGTAATTAAACCCTGCAAGACCAGGCACTTCACCAATGAACCAGAAGATTGTACTACCCTTTAACCCATGACAGACTTTTAACTTTAAACCTGCATGTATGCAAGATCTGAATTTGAGGTTGCAAACTTTCAGACCTTCTCTGACATTAAACACTGGTGTGTTTTCGGTGCTATAGAAAAATAATACATTTCATCCATATTAGTCTTAAGTGTATTTTATTGACTGACAAAATTGTTATGTTCTCACCTAAATTAATCAATTTAGTTCTGGTAAGTACAAATTTGAATACATTTGCTCACGTTCTAATGTATGAGCACTCATCTATTTTCACAGCCCTTCCTTCTGGTAGATAAGATGTTAACAGAAAATGGGTAGCAGATGATTCTAAACATTTATAATTCTGCTATTTATGCTGAGAAGAAGCATGAGATGTGGATATCAGTCTAATTTGCATTCTCTCAACAATTTATAATGAAAGAGTTTCTTTAATTATAACTATCATGTAGCAGAGTAATTAGAGCCTAAACTATAATGGTACATATTATTTGATGGAACAAATAACTGGAGCGGCTATTTCAACCGTATGAATATCTTACATAGACTACTGAACCAAAACATCACCAAAAAAAAAAAAAAAAAAACAGGGAATTTGTGCATACCCAGTGGTATTGAGACTGAAGCCTCTATTTTACAAATTTTGTGTTTCTCCAGGCAACATCAAAAGAGAAGATCCACTGGCATTCCCCTGGGACAATTCACTCCCTTGGCTGATCCTGCCTTTACCTTTCCATGTACACTCATTTGTAGCCCAGCACATCACTAACACTGATCACCTCAAACTCTCAGAATTGGAAAAAAAATAGAAGCATGCTCTAATTCTGCCACTGATTCATGGGGTGACCACAGTCAAGTCTTGGTTGTTGCCATATCTTGAAAACAAATACACTGCTTCTCTACTTCTGCACGATAACTTGAATCTTGAATCTACAATTTTTTGTAACTCAGACAAGCATGCCCTTAAAGAAGATGAAAAACTTTAGTTGACTAGAAACCAAAGCATTGTATGGTAGCAGAGCTTTTGAGAAAAATGCAATGCAAGAACAATTTTGTTATGAAAATTTTCACGAACATACAAAACTAAGTGACTAAAAACATGAAACTATTTCTAAGTAATATACTGCAATTTCTACCATTAAGGAAAAAGTTTGTGGTTATCCTAAGTTTATCAATGCAATAATGACCAGTTAAATCATTAACAGTCACTACTTTATTCATAGTAATTATCATTATGGAACTGGGACTTGAAAGCTTGTGTCATATTTTGTAATTGCATTGGTACAGTATAAATTCTTAATTTTTATCTTTAATTCTCTACTTATTATAAACCCAGTGAAATGTAACAAAACATTACATTTCATCCATCCATCCATTTCATCCCATCTCTGCAACAATAAATTTGAATCCATTTAATTACTGTACTATGGAGAGTATTACATTCTCTGCCTTTTTCTTGTTATAACTGTCACATTTTACTTTAGATGGATTATTTCAGAGGCTAATGCACAAATCTTGCTTTGTAAATTAATGTCCATTAATGCAACTTCTCTGCATGGGCATTTACAAACTTGAAATCACCTTCCAACTGTCACATTAGCTACCAATAACGTCTATAAAACTCTCCATCCGCTCTCCATCACCATTTCCCCAGTTAACTTTTCTATTCTCTTACTAAAAGTTTACACAGGTTCAAAAAACTACTGTATAGAGTCATCAAAGAAAAATCATTAAGGCCTGCTAAATACAGAGACAACACTCCTGCCTTGAGGAATCCTTGAGCCACAAGCTTTCGGTCAGAGTGCTGGAGTAGCATCATTAAAAGCTCTCCCCCATATAGACTTCTCTGGGTATCTACTCTTGGCCACTGCCAGTAGAGGCTTTGGTGCATCACAGTATGGCTTTTTTTTACTGTTCTCATAGGTACTCACCAGTATTCAGAAGGCTGAGAGGCAAAAGTAGATGTGAAATACCCGAAGTATGCAATCCATGATGGCCAAAAGCTTCAACAAGTTCACACCAGTCATCATTTACCGCTTTAAGATTATTTAAAGTCTTTGGAAAACTCTTTGCTGTTCAGCTGCCAACAGTACTCAACACCAGATTACCATAAAACAAGACTGCTGCTCTATTATTATTCACCTTTAACATGAGGGAGCACATGATCATCTTTCTAGCCATGGATTTCAAGCCTTTATAAACAATTGTCCCATAATTTACAGGTTAATATCTTTGTATAGGTGAACTAGCAATATTCAAACACGAATACAAAATTATGTTTCTTAATCTCAGAATTTTAGAAATAATTAATGGACACAACAAAAATAAGACAGTATTATATACGTTCTGTCGCTATCCTAATCACTCGAGACTCAGTTCTGGTCCCACTGAAACTGGTGGAAACTCGGGAATGGAAAACTTCAGTTTCTCTACAAGAGAGCCTCTGGCATTTTCAAATCTGGTGTTTTTGTTGTGTCCTTTATTTCCTCAGTTTCTGCATTTTTATAAAAATCACCAATGCTCCAAATGTAGTATCTGATGTACAGAAAGACAAATTTGATGCCCACATGAAATAACCATTATCATGAAAAAGCTACTTAAAGATATTATAAAACACACATTCACGTTCTTCTTGCGATAAGGTGCGCAGTGCCTTTCAAAAAAGTTGGACCTTATGCACGAGAACGGCTGTCGTGGCAGCCCCGCGGCAGCCCCGCATGAACACAGAGCCACCCAGTGCCAAACCCTACCTACCCAAGGAGGG